ATCACGGAAGTAGTGGTTGGTGAAGGCGGTGTCCGATCGCCACGAGCAGGCTTCCCTGAACGACGGGATGGAACAGTATACCGTGAAGAACCAGTGTAAATACGATCGCCCTGATCTCATTTTATTTCAGGTAATAGCCTTTGGGGGGAGGGTCCAATCCGGCGGCTCATACGCTTTAAGGATGACCGCCCGGAGCCACAGGGAAAAGTATTCCGGCTGACCAACGACAGCGACGAAGGGGAGACCGGCAGAAAAAGGTGTTTCCTAGACTTGCGGCAGTCTTTAGATCGTAGAATAACCTTCAGTGCCCTTACTGGGCATAATGACGCTCATCCTCATCCTCGGCACCCACACTGGACGAGGGGGGAGGGGACAAGGAATGATCTATCAGGCTGTCCTGGGAGTTGAGTCTTTACGCTGACGTCCCAGTACGGTCCATGATGAACGGCGCCCTGGGTACCGCATTCGAACCGGGCATGGGAAGCGTCGAGGGCGTGCTGTACATGGACTCGAGCGGCAGTAGTCAAAACCAGTAGAAACACCCGTCTTCTACTTAAGGTCGAAGAAGGAAGACGAGGGGAGTGGTTCGAAGGGTATTGAAGACCACATTCAGATCCAACGCAGGCGGTCCGAACTTGGTCTTCAGGTCTTCAAGACTGAACGAGCGCAGCCAGGCCCGTAGGTCGGGAATTTTCGTCTTTCTCCGATCGTCCGGGATGGCCAGAACGGAGTAGATGGCGACCAGGTATGTGGGGGTGGTAAGCCCTTCAACCGATGGGTGCTACACAAGTACAGAAGGAACTGATCCAGGATCTGCGGTGACGCTGTCATCGGATCCTGGTGTTTGTCAGAACAAAATGCCTGGAACAAGCATCAGTTATCAGCATACAGTCCCCCTGTAGATGGACGGTGGGCTGAAGCAATAGCCTTGGTCGCTCTAGCCGAATAGCCCTTGGCTTTCTGCATGTGTGTCAGGCGTGCAGACGATAACATGCGGGTATGAGGGTGTGGCAACAGACCGTGTGGATGGAGCAGAAGGTTGGACCACACCGGAAGTTCCAGGGGTTGTCTCTGGCTATGTTTCGGAGGTCGATAACCCAACTTCTGGCTGACCAATAAGGCGAGACCAAAGTCAATGGCAGGGGTCGAGTGGCCTGGATCTCTGAAGAACCGTGGGAGGGAGAACCGGAGTCGGAAAAGCGTACGCGCGTAGTCCTTCTCAGGAACGATGGAAGGCTTCGACTGCCACAGCGGTCGTATCCGGCACAGGTGGAATGGAAGACGACAGCTGGCCACATTCAGATATGAGGCAAACAGATCTAGGGTTGGGGTGTCGACCGTTTCACATAGTCTGGCCCGAGGCGCCGGAGAGCGTGAGGCGTCGGAGAGCTTGAGGCGCCTGGAACGCCGAAGATGGTGATTCTCGGGGGCGCCGGTCGAGTTTGTGGCGCCGGGAGAGGGGCGAGAACTCTGGGTCCGCAAACACCACACTACGGTGACGTCGTCAGTGGACACGATCAACAGGGCGTGACCGAGAATGCACTGTCAGCAAGTGCCGTCCTGGATAAGCATTTATCTCGAGGCTGTTGCTGTGCCAATGGTGTTGATCTCTGGATCACAGGTGGTCACAATGTGGGCTGGCGTGGGCCACTAGCCACTGACAAGGTGGCAGGGGAGGTAGTCAGCAACAGGGGTCTGCGATTGCGTACCGTCGGTACGATTCGGAAAAAAGGTGTGATCGCCTGCGAGCCAACCTCAAGTAGACGAAGTAAACCAGCTTCACAATCGACCGCCGGGGCATCGACGTAACCGGGTAGTAGGAAGTCGAGGCAATATGGCCATTGCACGAAGTAATGAGATCGTTTTCATCCCTGAAGCGGCGTATAAGTACTCCTGTTCTTATATCGAGGTGACGATGGAGGACGACAACACGATACGAGGCAGGTATGCAACAGGGGTCAGTGGGACGGCCGAGGGACTTTAAGTATCAAATCGACACTGTGTCCGGTAGTCAAGGCGGAAGATAGGACTACCTGTCGTAGTCGAAAAGATCAAACCGGACGAAGGAAGGCGATCTTTTCCATCCCTTGAACGCCTATAGGCGCTATCGTTCTTATAGCGAAGGGTTGATGAAACAAGGTTCCTCGTGACAGCCGTGTTGGTAGAGGAGGTCTATTGTTTCCAACATCCGTGCATGGATGGACTGCGACAGGCGCCTGGTTGAGTGGTATCACCAAGCGTACAGGTAGACATGGAAACCAATCTGTAGAAATACATGGCACCCCTTGCCATGGTAAGTTGACCTAAATCCGGTCGGAGTTGTTGACAGTCCGAGTACTTGACACGTGACATGTAAATCACTCTGCGCAGTAGCCGAGAAAACCGCCTTGGAGTCGGAACTGAGGTGCAAACTCCACACACAGACAATCCTCAATGAACTGTGTGAGAGACGATCAAGTGGTGTACCCGAGTTTTGCGATAAAACACGGAACCCCATGGGCGTCGTGGAAAACCCGGGGAGCGCCGAGGAAGAGTCTCTCTCAGGAACGCTGGCGCTAGGGTAGGGTAGAACAGCGTTGATGTCTGCGATGTCGACGAAGTAAACTCTTTGTAAGTGGATGTCGTCGTCGAATCTGATACAGACGCTGTTCACATGACGCTCTGTTTCGATGGAAACCCGCAGGTTATCTCTCCGGAATCATAGCGCTTTAAACAACGGGATTATGGATAACGTCTCAGTGGGCAAGTTGAATCAGACCAACTGTCTATTGGTTGAAATGATTCCACCCAGGAAGTAGAACGATAGTCACGATCCCGAAGACCGACGGGAGAGTAGCGAAAGGAGCGGCGACAGTTGTTTCACCATGCTTCTCCGTGTGACGAGTTATGAGACGGCAGCAAGAGAAGAGGGCAGTGGCGCCGGGGAGGCGATTGCCGATGGTGCCCCTTAAGCCGCAGTAGAAGATCGGATGGTCGGCTCGTTGATCTGAGCTTGATAAAGCTTGTTGATCTGAAGCTTGTTGAGCGCCAAAGACATCAGAGGATGCGGAGGCGCCGGAGCGCGGAGACATCAGAGGCGCCGAGACATAAGCGGCGCCGAGTCATCAGAGGCGCCGAGTCATCGGAGGCGCCGAGTCATCAGCTTGTCATGAACAAGTCATGAAGCTTGTTGAGCGCCGAGACATCAGCGGCGCCGAGTCATCAGAGGCGCCGGGAGCGCCGTGTCATCAGAGGCGCCGGGAGCGCCGAGACATCGGAGGCGCCGAGTCATCAGAGGCGCCGCGTCATCAGAGGCGCCGGGAGCGCCGCGTCGTCAGAGGCGCCGAGTCATCGGAGGCGCCGGGGGCGCCGGAGACATCAGCGTTGACGGTGTTGGAGACCGTGAACGGTCGTATGTCGTGCCATGGGAGGCAGACTCTACGTTGGGAGCGCTGGAGCCGCCGGTGGAGTAGGAGACCGTGAACGGTCGTATGTCGTGCCATGGGAGGCAGACTCTACGTTGGGAGCGCTGGAGCCGCCAGTGGAGTAGGAGACCGTGAACGGTCGTATGTCGTGCCATGGGAGGCAGACTCTACGTTGGGAGCCGCCGTGAAGCTCCGCTGAGCGCTGCTGCCGTCAACGTAGGTGGGGGTCGACGAGCACGTTGAGCGAGGTGTGTCCTGGATACTCGCATGAGCTGAAGGATCACAGCGACGAATGACTGCAACGTCGGCACTGCCTTGTGAAAGTACAGGGCGTCGTACAATCACGGCAGAAAGGGGCGGCCCCGACCAGATTTGTTCCCACGGAACCAAGTGCAGCGAGGCAGAAAATCTGGAATTTAAGCAAAACATAACTATGTGGCAAAGCCACAAAGTGCGGGAAGCATAATGTGTGGCCAATCACAAAGTATGGGAAGCATAAAGTAACTCAAAAACAGTATATTTTATTAAAGTTTATGAGATAAACAAGTACGCTAAAAGGGAGCGAAAAGGCAAAGCCTTAAGCAAACACGTAACCATGTGGCAAAACCACAGAGTACGGGAGACATAATGTAACTCATAAACTTCGTATTATATTGAAGTTTATGAGAAGAAACAATTACGCTGAGAGGTAGCGAAAAGGCAAGGCTTTAAGCACACCAAAACAACATACATAAATGTAATGTATTACCCAAGCCAAAGAGAGAATTCAAAACGCAGAACACGACATTACGTGGCCACGTGGTGAATGGCCAAAATGGCGGGAAAGAAAACAAAATGGCGGGAACAACATTGCGCCCGTAAATTACTGTGACGTGAGCCACAGACGAGCGATAAACGTTACAATTTACGAATGGGAAGACCCTAAGGTCACGGCCCATAACAGGTAACAATGTAGCAGCATATAATGAATGTAGAAACACGCAAAATATAAAAAACAAATAATAAGCTTTAATTTCCACAAGGGATACAAAGTACGTCCGTCCGTGGAGGTGACAAAGCAGTTATGTCTTTTGGTGTGACGTCATGACTTCCGGGTCACGTGCCGACTGTGAGAGGGCGCTGCCTCCTGGGCTGGTTGGGACAACTTTCTTCAGCAGCTGGATCTCACACAGTTCGTCTCTCTGTCAAACATAGCAGTAAATGCAATACGGAGTAATGCAGGATAAGTTAAAAAATATGGGAGTTACGATCATCTTAGCGCTAAGATCGTTTTGTGCAAGTGGGCCCAGATCAAACGGTTATAGTTAAGTTCGATGTTTTGATGCAAATGTTATTACTGAAGCAAACTGCTATCACCCTTAATAAAATATCATGGAATTCTATGTCTACAGGCTTGGTGATATTGTTTGCTGACTAGTCATTATACATGTTATAGTTCAAAGGCAAGGCTATTCAAAATTATTTTCATTACTCTTTTTGACCAGGGGTCGACACTCGCATTAATTTGGTGAAGGATAAATTTCTTGATTTACAGTAACCCAGTAAACTTTCTTTATTACTAAAGTTGTATACCCTGTTGCACTATCCACCACTAACCTGCTGGTTATGGAGTCATCGTCCACTGCAGCTACCACCGTCCCACAGTCCTCACCCACTGAGCCCAGCAAACTTGGTCTGTCAACACAACAATGGCAACATGTAGCTAAAACAACTCCAGGAGAGAAACCAGCAGTTAATTCCCTTGTCAGCTGAAACTGTCACAGAAAATATAGTTTGATTTGTTTATAGGCGTTCCAAAGTTACATGCAATGTGCCGTGCGTATCAGTAGTACTTACTTGGAAGAACTACTTTGCTGATAGCATAACAGCATCATTTCAATGTCCATTGTGTTTACCTCTTAATTCCATCAAGTGCAAAGTGGATCCTGAATCTCTTCTTCCTACCTTGAGCTGGTACTTACTTGCCCTGGCAGAACTCTGTGCGTTGTACCCTGCGTGTGTGGGGTGTATAAGCCCGGACAGTGTCGGCCACCATCCTGATATCCAGCACCACCATCTGGCCAACCTCGCTGCCTATGGCTGTTGTGTGCTGTGAGCCGGGCTGCCAGGAGGAGCAGGTTGGGGCTCCCTGCAGACGTGGACACTCTGCCAACACAAGCAATAACTATACACAAGGCAGGCAGGCAGGCAGCGGGCTAGAACAGTTACATCACAACCAGTTGATGTTCAGTCTGGCCCTAAAAGTATACCACTTTGGTGAAAACCATGGGCTCGGTGCTAACAGAGTTGTGCTCACAACTAACAGATACTCACGCTCCATGGGGCACAAGCAGCAGATTCTCACACTCCATGGGGCACAAGCAGCAGATTATCACGCTCTAGGGGGCACAAGCAGCAGATTCTCACGCTCTAGGGGGCACAACCAGCAGATTCACACTCTAGGGGGCACAACCAGCAGATCCTCACGCTCTAGGGGGCACAACCAGCAGATCCTCACGCTCTAGGGGGCACAACCAGCAGATCCTCACGCTCTAGGGGGCACAACCAGCAAATTCACACTCTAGGGAGCACAATCAGCAGATTCTCACTCTAGGGAGCACAACCAGCAGATCCTCACGCTCTAAGGGGCACAACCAGCAAATTCACACTCTAGGGAGCACAACCAGCAGATCCTCACGCTCTAAGGGGCACAACCAGCAAATTCACACTCTAGGGGGCACAATCAGCAGATTCTCACGCTCTAAGGGGCACAACCAGCAAATTCACACTCTAGGGAGCACAACCAGCAGATCCTCACGCTCTAGGGGGCACAACCAGCAAATTCACACTCTAGGTAGCACAACCAGCAAATTCACGCTCTAGGGGGCACAACCAGCAGATCCTCACGCTCTAAGGGGCACAACCAGCAAATTCACACTCTAGAGAGCACAATCAGCAGATTCTCACTCTAGGGGACACAACCAGTAGATTCACGCTCTAGGAAACACAATCAGCAGATTCTCACACTCTTATCTTATCTTAATGAATTAACTTGTAACTAGGTGAGGTGAAGTGAAATGGGGTTTAACGTCGCGTCCAAGATTATTGCACTTATATAGCGACGTGCACACACTCTATGTGCACACATTGTATGTGTATGGCTGCTTGGACTAGGCCGGACTGATGCCGATTTATAGTGCTAGCTCACTGAGATACCATGCCGCAGTTTAACATGAACACCCAACTCAGACACAGTATACTGACTCCGAGCCGACCAGTCCTTGTTTTAGCCCCTTAATGCCGAGCGCCAGACAGGGTAGCAACAAGTACCATCTTTTAACGTCTTTTGGTATGACGCGGTCGGGGATCGAACTCCGGACCTTCCGCTCTCCGGTCGGACGCTCTACCATTAGACCACAGAGGCAGTCTAACTTGTCACTAAAATGCAACTTGACTTTAATATTATTTTCAAACAGATCGGTTGAACTATTCTGATCTTACTGATAATACTGGCTGGCTTAGGTTTCCGCTGATCCCACAAGAGGACTGTTTTATCATGTCCACATGACAAGTACATGTCGGCCTCGGTCGGGTGACAGTCAACGGACCACACTATATCAGAGTGGGCTGAAACAACAACATTTGACACAGTCTAACTATTGTAATACTCAACATCAATATGGTAACAACTTCTTCTTTATTTATAGAATCATTATGGAGATCATATGCAGCTTTAGGCAATTCTTTATGTCAAAGATGCCAGTATCACAAAACAATTTCTCACAACATGCAGCTATGTACTTAAAAGTGAAATTCTTTACCTAGACATAGAAACTGACACTAATGTTATGTTTCAAATCAAACTCATCATCATGATTATATGGTTCAGCCTGACTTTTTTTACAACTGTTATCATTAAGAAACTAGGAAAATCTAGATATTTTTTTATATATTTGTATATTTATCCTGCATTACTCCTTAATGCATCTACCGATTAATCTTGACAGAGAAGGAGCTGTGAGAGGTCTTGTGGAAGAAGAAGTTGGTCCAACTGGTTGAGCGGCTAACCATATCACACAGCTCCCATGTGACCACGGAAGGGGTGATGTCAATGATCGACACATTACTGTACATCTGAGCACCTGAAGCGACGTGAGGATCCAGCTCTGCGACAGGTGGGCCACTTTAGACGAAGTAATGCAGGATAAGTATACAAAGATAAATCTAGATTTTACTAGATTTTTTAACTTATCCCACATTACTCCTTAATGCATCTTTATCGGACAGTACGGTGGAGGGCATACATTCAGATGTGATCTTAAATAACTCTCTATAGACTCCAATCAATCAGCAACAGCGATGTCCACCATCAAGTGACCATTCCTGTCGGAAGGACACAAGAGAGTGAGGTATGCGTGATGTCCAGGTCAGCTCCGGACATGTGGAAGAATCATGTTGAGCCTTGGGGTGGTGACCTGCTGGGCAAACACCAAAGGGCCAAAGCTGTAGATTACTTCTGCGTCTTCCAAGGCAACATCTTGCAGGTAGTGGCTGGCAAAGAATGTATCTAAATGCCAGAAGCAGCCCTCCATAATGGAACGGATGGAACAGTTGATGTGAACCACCATGGCATAGGCGACTTCCCGGATCTCATGCAGATTGTTGACTCTAGGAAGGTCCAAACAAGCAGCCTTACAAGCCTGAAGAATGATGGCACAAAGCCATAGGGCAATCGTGTTATGGCTGACATCAACCTGCGATGTCATACATAATGGGATGAAAAGGCGGCGGCACTGTCCTCAATGATCTTGGAGAAAAGAATGAAACATCATACCACTTGCACCAGACATAGTAGAAGTTCCTGTTCATCTTCAACACCCACTATCGAAGATAGGCACGGGATGGTGAAGGCTCTATCCGGCTGTCCTGGAGTTGATTCTTGGTTATGAAGTCCCAGTAAAGCTCAAGATGAACTGTTCCATGCACTCTGGACGGGTGATTCCAGGGCATGTAGTTCACTCACCCATGCCGCTGTAGCCAGAACTGCAGGAAGATAGTCTCCTTGATATGGTTGGAGAAAGATGCTAAGTGGAGTGGCTCAAAGGGCTCGCCTCTCAGCAGGGTAAGCACCACATTCAGATCCCTAGCCAGGGGTCTGAACTTGGCCTTCTTCGAAAAGAGCAACACTTTGAGTTCAGGAATCTTGGTTATCTTTTGATCTCCAAGAACGGCCAAGATTGAGTTCAGGGCCAGAAGGTATGTAGTAATGGTGCTGCCCTTCAGACGATGCTTGTGGTGCAGAAGAAGGAGGAATTCAGCCAAGAACTGGGATGACGCAGAGGTGGGATCCCATTGTTTCTCCCAGCAGAAACTCTCGAAGGAGCATCATAGATGTCCCTGGTAGAAGGTCTGTGCGCCAAGGTGATTTCCTTCGCCACCATTGCTGAGTAACCCTTGGCACTTAGGGATCCTTGTAGATCAACCAGGCCTGAAGATGAAACCTGTCTGGAGATGAGTGGCTGTGAGGGTGGATCAGCAGGTTTGGCCAACCTGGCAGTTGAGGGAGTCGATGGCGGGTATCTCCTTAAGATCCACGAACAAGACCCTTGCAGGTCACCAAGGCTTGATCAAAGTCACAGCCAGGCTCTAGGTCAACATGATCTTTTAAAGGACCCTGGGAACGAATACTGGAGGCGGAAAAGCATAAGACTGACTGCCTAAGGCTGTGGATCTGGTACCGATGATATGAAGGTTCGGACCTGACTGGTGGCAAACAGGTCGATGTTGAGGTAGTCAAGGTGTCGGCAGACTAGATCAAAGGCATGTTGGTGGAGTTTTACTCTGTGGGTGCCACCTTGTCTTGTCTGGAGAGGATGTTGCGCTAATCTCCTGGAATGTGTTGGATTCGGAACTGAGGATCCAGTTAATAATCGACATGCTGTAAGAACCAGAACATCTGCTGTAACAGGGAGGAGTAGTGGGTCGTCCCCTGATTGCGGAGCCACCATACTATGGTGATGTTGTCCTTGGATATGGTGATCTGAGGGCGCTGAAGTGCCTGCTTCCCGTGGGAGAGAGCCAGGATGAGAACCACTAGCTGTATGTTGTTGAGCTGAGTGGTGGACCACAGCCCTGAGGCGACTTGGCCCTCCAGATGTGCTCCCCAGCCTTGAAGAGAGGGGTCGACAAACAGGTGTGATGAGAGTGTGAGCTGTCAAGGAGATGCCGTCTGAAAAGACATTCAACTCCACCATACACCATTGGTGATGTGATTTGAGGCGATCCGGGAGGACAATGGAGACGGACTAGTCCTGGTGCCTGATGTAGGGAGCAATGAGTATTTGCATAGGGCGCAGTTGAAGCCGTCCTCTGGGGGTGAAGTCCTGCCCTGACGTGAGGAGACCCAGACTCTGGTGAAGGTGCGAGGTTGCTGAAGTGCTGATCTATGCCTCAAATTGGACATTCTTCAGATGAAGGAAGGTGGCTATTGGCTTGGTAATGTGTAAATAGCCACAGGGCCGTGGAAATTCCAAATGGGAGCACAGCCCATTGATAATGGAGTCCATTGAAGATGAAATGGAGGAATTCCTGTCACGGGGATGGATGTGACAACTTGGTGAAGTTGTTGTCTAATGCTGTGATCTTTGATCAACGATCAGGAGGGATGGATGGATGTGGTATGATACCATACAGTGTCCTTTTTATCAACGTCAGGTCCTGGAGATGGAGTGACAGGAACATGGTTAAGGCCAAGTGTGAGTCCACATCCGAGAGAGATCCATCAAACGCAGGAATGAAAGAGCCTTCGGACAAGTCACAGTGGTAGTATCTAGAGCTCTGAACCAGAGAGTGGCTCGGGGAACAGTACAACTTGCTTCCAGTATGCCTTGATGAGGAACCAGGAGAGACAGAGCCATGAGATGATGAGGAGCGGCTGTAAATGCGCCACCGAGATCCACACAAGGCACCGTCTGGTGCTTGATGCTGGATGTTGGATGCTGGTGCTGGATGCTGCTGCTGGTGCTGGATGCTGGATGCTGGTGCTGGATGCTGGTGCTGGTGCTGGTGCTGGTGCTGGTGCTGGATGTTGGTGCTGGTGCTGGTGCTGGTGCTGGTGCTGGATGTTGGTGCTGGATGCTGGATGCTGGATGTTGGTGCTGGTGCTGGTGCTGGTGCTGGATGTTGGTGCTGGATGCTGGATGCTGGATGTTGGTGCTGGATGCTGGATGCTGGATGCTGGTGCTGGATGCTGGTGCTGGATGCTGGATGCTGGATGCTGATGCTGGATGCTGGATGCTGCTGGATGCTGGATGCTGCTGGATGCTGGTGCTGGATGCTGGATGCTGGTGCTGGATGCTGGTGCTGGTGCTGGATGCTGGTGCTGGATGCTGGTGCTGGATGCTGGATGCTGGTGCTGGTGCTGGTGCTGGTGCTGGTGCTGGTGCTGGATGTTTGATGCTGGTGCTGGTGCTGGATGCTGGGGCTGGATGTTGGATGTTGGTGCTGGTGCTGGATGCTGGATGCTGGTGCTGGATGTTGGATGCTGATGCTGGTGCTGGTGCTGGTGCTGGTGCTGGATGCTTGTGCTGGTGCTGGATGTTGGATGCTGGTGCTGGTGCTGGATGCTGGTGCTGGATGCTGGATGCTGGTGCTGGATGTTGGATGTTGGATGCTGGTGCTGGATGCTGGTGCTGGATGCTGGATGCTGGATGCTGGTGTTGGATGTTGGATGCTGATGCTGGTGCTGGTGCTGGTGCTGGTGCTGGATGCTGGTGCTGGTGCTGGATGTTGGATGCTGGTGCTGGTGCTGGATGCTGGTGCTGGATGCTGGTGCTGGATGCTGGATGCTGCTGCTGGATGCTGGATGCTGGATGCCGAAGGAGCTTGGAACCGAGGCATTTCCTGCTGGATCATTGTTGACATCAGATGAATCTAGGATGGGTCCATATAAGGCGCCTGAAGCGACTGGGGAGGCACCGGATGGAAGTCTATGTGTCCAAATCCCGTAGGCGCTGTAGATTGTTTGTACGCCTGAGACAGTGAGAAGGGGACAGGTGTCATCATAGAGGAGGAGGCAGAGTAAATCAATGCTGAGGGTAACAAATATATCCATTTCATATCAACGATGAACTGTAAAGGCGAAGAGGTGGTGGAAGTAATCACCGATGAAGATATATGCAGTGTTGCAGTCGCCAGAGGATTCCCGCCTGAGTGAATGTGAGTGAGTGAGTTGTGTTAAACACCGCTTTGAACAGTGTTCCAGTTATATCGCTGCATGCCAGCTTAATGTGGAAGGAAAGCCGGAAGTGATGCAGGTCTTCGACGTTTACCATTTCAGTTAAACCCACAAGGTATGGTGCTGACAAATCTAGAAACATAATCGGGGCGAACCGGAATTCGAACCCACAATCATAGGTTTCTGGCGTGCCCACGGGGAGCAACTCTGCACAGGGAATTGCGGTGCCTTAGACGACTGGGCCACCCATGCTCCCAGTTCCCGCCTGAGGAAGAGATGGCCGTGGATGGTGGTGGTGAAGTAGGCTCGGATTAATCTGACATCTTTTTTGGCGACCTTTCTGGGCCTGCTGTGGCCACCGTTTACGTGATATATGAAGGTATTTCGAGACCGCTGTAGGGCAAAGTGTCAGACAAGCGCTACACTTAGTAGCCTGGGAGCACAGAGTACAACTTAGACACAAGGGATGAGGGTCCCACCCAGACTTATTGCACTTGCTACAACGTGGCATGTATCTGCAATGATAGCAGAGTGTAATCAAAAAGCGTTCCCACCCGATTATGTATGGTAATATCTCAATCTCAGCCTTGTGGGTTTAGGAAGAATAAGCTAACGCAAAGAACGCGAAAATCACCACTTTAATAACGTTAATATTGCAAGGGTATGACAATGACTTGAAGTACCAAACAATATACACTTTGTGTACCCCTCTGACAAGTGTAAAGTGGCACGGCTCCCATGGCCAAGAGCTATGAACACAAAAAAAAAAATGCCATTTAGAAAATGGTTAAATGTAACATATGTTATATTTGGGATAACACTTTCTCAGTTAGGTACAGATTTTCGTACTATTTGCGGTTGAGTCCGAGTCCGAGTCCGAGTCCGTGATTTGAACCCACACTGCAAGAGTGAGGCATCTAATCACCAGCACACAAAGTCAGCAATCTAACCCACTCGGCCACCGAGGCTCTCATAGCTCTCTGCCATGGGAGCCGTGACAGTTTACACTTGTCAGAGGGATACACAAAGTATGTAATCTAGACTACCAGTTGTCAGACTTTCATTTTGTGGAAGCCTCTGTGGCTGTGCGGGTTAGATCGCTCACTTTGTGTGCTGGCGATTAGGTGTCTCACTCTGGCAGTGTGAGTGCGAGAATCTGTGCTTTACTGAGAAAGTGTCATCCCAAATATAACTCTTTTACATCAAATATATCAAACATCAGAATCAAAATACAGTACATACCTCTATATGTGTGTAGTGAAGAGAGATTGCTTAGATCCCACACTTTGATTCTGTCAAAAAGAAAATGAAAATCTCTCCTAGGTCATGTAGACAACATATTCTCATATTAAACAATAAATGTATACTTGGTGCATGATGTATAGCTATCTACAGTTACAGTTGCAGTAGAGAGGATGTCCTCCCCTCACCTGTTGTCATAGCTTGCAGACATAGCCCTCTTGCCATCACAAGACACGCTGACAGAGCTCACAATGTTGTCATGCTCCATCGCACACTGGGATAGTACGAATGTGTGGAAGTCATCAACTAGCCCCCATACTGCAACGCCCCCTGAAACAACAATACACTGGCTGACAAAGTATATCAGAATATCTATCAGCATCCAAATAAACCCTTAAATAAAACCACACACCAACTTCATTAATAAAGCATTCTAACTAACAAATGCAGATCCATCAGTGTATAGTTCAGCTGTACAAACTTGCAACTGTCTCTATAGAACTCTTCCCTATTACTTTCATTCACTGATAACTACATCATGTACATACACTAACCAAAGTTCAAATATAATTAAGAAAAGAACAAAAAAATTACATTTCATAATTTCCCCAATCGATCATTGAAATAAATATTATTGACAATTTTGTCAATATTTAGTTGAACAAATGTTGAATGTCTGTAGCATGCCTCAGAAACTGACAATGATATAACCATGTTTCACAAAGCATGAACGACGACCTTATCCTTTGATCTATGAAAACTTTAAAAAACAGGGCCCCATCCCATTTATGATAAATGGATCAATACTTTTTGAGAAATTGTAACTACGAACTCTTTTGTGAGGTTTTTCTATATTCTTGCGATTTTGTCCTTTTCATAACATGCTAAAGAGGCTATTTGGAACAAGTCCATGGAAGAATATCTATCTATCTAATTTCAATGATCTTTGCATAGTAGGCCTTAGAAGAAACCCCCCCTTCCCCCCCCCCCCCCCCCCCCCCCCCCCGACACACCTTAAAGCAGTACCTTTCACAGGGCAGCTAATTCTAAGGTGAGGGCAAATACTGAAACGCCACATTAAAGATTATTGCATGAGCATATGCGTGCTTTTATGTGTGCTTGCACTAGTCCAGACTGATGCTGATTTTATGTGCTACCCCACTGATGTACCATGCTGCGCCAGGAAAGGTAACAAGTACCTATTTTAACATCTTTAGGAATGGCATGGCCGGGGCTTGAACTCCTGACCTTCTGCTCTCCAGGCAGCCACTCTATCCACTACACCACGGAGGTGGAATGCCTTTCAGAGGTGACAATGTTTATGACAAGAGTCAAATATAGCTCAGCCCCAATACACAGTAACGGGTTTGTGAGTGGTGAGACAGGTGTACCACATCTCCTGTACAGTGAGGTGTGCTAGATACAGTCCATGTACTGCTGCAACACAGCAACTGCATGCATCAACTGATCAAGACAGGATGTTTCCCAATATTCCTTCAGATAGGATGCATCACATGACTGCTTCAAAATATTGCTTCAAGATATATTTCGCAATTTTGTTTCAAGAGATGATGCTTCACAATATATGCATGACATACTCTCTGTCTGTACAAATTCTGATGCAATCCATGTATCTCAGCTTCACAGCAGCTGACAGTGCCCTCTGTGGTGCAATATGATAGGCTAGGTGTGGCTGCTGGAGAATATGTAGATGTCAAAGCAAAGGGTAAGGGTCATCAGTTCCCCCATCACACACTTCTCATCTGCTGCCAAAGGAAGACCCAATATGGCTGCAGCAGGCCAACAGGTCATACCAGTAATACTGGCAATAACACCACCAGAGAATAACTTGAAAAATCTTAAAAACAAAAATGGAACTCTTCTATCTAGGGATCGACTCACGATTTGCTTACCTAGTTGTCATAGTTACCACATTAACATTCATTCAGCACGATTGAAAATAGAATACATATAACCATTACATTTTCATCTGCCCTGACAGTCCGATTTTCTCTTGCAAAAATCGAAAAATGTCATATTGCATGAACAAAATTACATACTGTATAAATAAATATCAAGAAAAACTTACATGACTGTTTATTCAATTGTCAAAAGTTGTCAATGGATAAACAGTGAGTTGCATACTTGCAACACTGCATGCAATACCTCACTGTGCATAACTGATTCCTATATCACTGTATGGAGCTTTGCATCAGTTGACAATGGCCGAGTGCGCAACAATGTTGATCTTCGATCAGCAAACCAAGTATTTTTTACAACATAAACCTTTGTTAGCACACAAACATCCTTCTTCCGTTAAAATCAGGGATGTTCAACACCAAAGTTATCAAAAAATATTTTTTTGTCCCATAAATCCTACCAGAAATCAAGTGTCAGAGTCCTAAAAATCAAAATATCGAAGGGACTTTGGAATGACAACAATACAAACTCTTTCTCCATAATAATATGCAAATTTCAGATCACAGATGATTGTATTTTGGATGATATTCAACCTCATTAAAAACAGATCTTACCGCTAACCAAAGATCGGAGGGCATCCCATTACAGGTCACGTCATTATGATAAATTTGCTTCCAGATTTGTCCATAAAAATTATAAAATGTATGTATCACTCAAATGTTAATTCAAACACATTATGAATGACAACAGTATTTTCATCTTCAGGTTACTTGTCAACATTTTCTGGCTGCTGCACATTGCAAACACTCAGACTTCTGTGAGAAATAAGTGACTTAATTATTGCTAATTAAACGCAGAGTGAACCTGGAACAATATTCATTATCTCATGAACATGTGATGAACTATCACTATTTATTAATTAAATTTAACAATATTTCCCTCAATACACAATCCATGAGGAAAGAAAGTAAAATTGACACAATTTCATTTTCAAATGTAAATATTTTACTCTTTGCAATCAATCTGTAACACCATTTACAAAAGTTGCTTTTTCATGTCTACTATCTACATTGATGAAAACCTTGAAATTTGGTAACGGCAGTTATCGCTTCCCACATGCTCACAAAATGAACACCTGATGATGGTAAACACGTCTGCTGAATGATCTATAATTGTACTCATGAATAATTCCTCCAAAAGTCAACAATGAACACAAATAAATAAACATTAAATGTAATTGGTATTACCTTTCGGTTGCAAATGCTCATCTAATAATAAACACATATTTTTAAATATATTCGCAGCCTGTCAGCTTAATGTGGGAGCAAAGCCCGAATTGAAGCAGGTCTCAGACGTTTAACACCAAAGTGAAACCCACGAGCACGGGTATGGTGCTGACAAACTTAGAAACATAATCAGGGCAAAACGGGATTCAAACCCACTATCATAGATTGCTGGCATGCTCAAGGGACACAACTCTGCACAGCCAATTGCGGCGCCTTAGACAACTTGGCCACCCGTGCCTCCTATTCGCTGTGGAATAATCATGTGTTTGGAAATAAGATACGTAAGGATATTAGCCTAGAAACATCATTTCACAAATAACGAAAATACAGTTTCAACTGTTTGAAGATGTAACACCTTGGATAATTAGCAAAATCTCATCACTCCAAAATATTTCACTTTTGAACCAGGGTAAGCTTTCTCTCATAGGTAATAAACCCTGTCTACCAATCCTTGTCAATAGCAGCACCTGGTCTTTAGGCTTGACAATAACAGTGAGTGTGGTGTAAAGAACATCAGTGGTATTTCAGCCATTTTGTGAACAAAACATTGATGTAACAGTTCCTGCATAAGAACGGAACACAAGACCAAGCCATGCATCTATAGTATAAGAGTCGCTGTTCAAAGATATTATCCCTGGCATGAAATTGGAGAACAATCAGGGTGTGCCCAAGGGCACTGAACATGTTTCCCAGGTGTGCCATTTTCAGTTGAGGTGTGCCCTGTCTACATTAGATTATTACGCAATCATCATAGCAATAGGTAGCTAATCCATATCAATTCTTTTGGGATCTTGTCAAAACTGCACGTTGAATACATAATGCATATAAATGTTCAATGGATTGTAAATATGTTTCAAGTTTGAGTGGGTTCGAGTTTCAAGTTTGAAATGATAAAACTGTGTAATATTTGTGATATTCCATCAAAATATGGAAAGTCAACAGTTTATTTAAATATATTTTCTGCAATTTTTTACATCTTGTACGTCAAACGTCTGTAAGATAGAGTCAATGGAAATTACCGAATAATGGTGATTGGTTTTACATTATTCCCCATTAACTAATGGGGAAAACTCTTTCACTTCACAGCTTAATTTCGCCAGAAATGTAATCAATAATTACAGAAGAAAATGGCCGTGCTCACAAGGCACAAAACATAAAATTCAATTCATTATTTTTTTTGTGCCGTGGGCATAGGGCACAAGTAATTTCAAGTCCTTGACATACACCTCTCCAACACCTATGCTGCATGTGACATATAAAGCTCACCTGCATTGGCCCAACAACAACTGTGACCTGTCGGGACCAAGGGTCGGATTTGGTCCCTGTAGCAAATCCATGTCATACAAAGTTCTAGAAATGGACCGTGAGGTCTGGCTCTGTGACTTTGATGAGAATGTACTTCTGCTGGGTAGTATCAGCTACAGGTTTGTCTGTCCCACACTTGATTACCTACAGACTCCCACAATATAGCTGAAATGTTGCTGACTGCCACATAAACAATAAAAATAGAGATCCCCCATCGTGACACCAATGTGTGTACAAGCATGCACAACTCACCTGTATCAAGCCCCACTACAACAGTTGTTGCATCAGCCCATGTGGCATCTTGCAGCCCCGCCTCCAGTTGTACCCCGGCCGTGCACTTCTCCACATCGGGTGCGAGTGCTGGGTTGGAGTAGAACCAGAGCGAGCCCAGCCAGTACCTGCCACTCAGACTAGATGCTCCAAGCAGTAGGCCACCATCTGCAACACCATACAATGTACATCAGAGCTCCAGATAAGCTGCGTATCTGCATAAAATATGCATAAAAAATGCAGAAATACGCAATAAAATAAAATCCAAGTGTATCAAATATGCAACGAACATTACAGATTCGCTACAAAAATAAAACTTGTGCGTATCATCAAAATATTGTGAAGTAACCCTGCGTGTTCGATTAGCAAATCAGCAACTTATTTTGAAATTATAAACGGACATTCCGTCAACCTTGCCAAACTCCACGATGACAGTTACATCATGATCATTTGCCATCACACTTTCTTGTGGAAGTATCGTGGTATTTTTGAGTCCTATAAAGCTCTCGAACCCACACAACACCAGTTTGCAGGGACTAGATGAATAGTGATTTTAAATATTAACTTAAATACCCACATGTGTAAAAACTAGTGGGTAACAGATATTTGAATACCCAGATAGAATTACTGATACCCATTTTAAAATGCATGGGTAAAATACCCACAACACCAAAAGCTTATCTGGAGCTCTGGTACATACTGACAATATACTTTTCTCCTGTATTAGTCGGAGTGAGCGAGTTAGTAAGTGTGTGAGTGAGTATAGTTTCATGCTGTTTAGCAATATCCATGCAATACCTCCTAGGGGGACCCCAGTAATGAACTTCATGTCCTGTGTGGAGATAGAACCTCGATCTTATCACTCTAGCAATTAAGCTGTGCATTGAACATATTGAAACAAAATTCTATTATCTCAGGGGTGGAAATTTAAAAAACAACTTCACTTGCCTTCGGACAAGTTTAAAGACAGTTTTCACTTGCCCAAATAATTTCAAAATATAACTTCAAATCATCAATATGTGTTTATTTACCGTTGAACAAAATTACACTACACCAGCACTGTTATATCTACATAAGGACTCGGGTAAATTCTAAATGAACATCGGAAACCTCATGACTTGTCAAATAATGTTTTTTCGAAATTGTGTACAACAGTCAACAAAAACATGTTTCTTATTTCTGGATGTTACAGTTGGATACTGACAACAAATTCTGCACTTCATGACATTTCGTTTTTCGTCATACACTACCCATGGAAACTCATCGCACCAACTCTGAATGAATTTTCTGTCCCGTTTTTCGGCATCATACGTCTTGTTCTTAGAACATGTGTCCTCATTTGGTCGTTTTCTTTTACATGATTCGCTATCATCGGCATTTTGAGATTTATTTTCACTTTTCCCACCAAAAAAACTTTTAATCGACACCTCCTCGTGTGTCGCCATAACCGGGTCGTAACTGTTTACATTGGAGACAGTCACAGGCCACGACGTGTTTCATTACGATTGATATTGATCTAGTATCTATTATCAGATCCCTCTAGGCTGCAATGAGAGAAAAGCATTCAAACCGAGTGTAGAAAGTTGTTTCATACTGTTCCGATTGAATATTAAAACAAAAATAGAAAAGGGACGTAACTCTAAGTCTCATGTGTTCTTTAATAGTGTCAGTGTTTCGCGAAAGCGCGATTACGAAATTTCTCTCAGCTAATTTATTGTACCATTTTACCAGTAGTTAGACATGTAGACAATGATAGTAATTTCCAATATTACTTGCCTCCGGACAAGTTAAATTAAGTGATTTTGTTGCCCGACCTCATATTTCTACTTGCCCCGGGAGTCGGGAAATGGCAATTTTCCACCCCTGTATCTCCTTGGCTAATCATGCAAAATTGCGGAAATATTAAACAAATGGCTCATGAAAACCATTAAGGCTAGTTTTATTGTCTTATTACAGTCACCATGGCAACCATGCTTCTAACGAGTCACAAACTTCCAATTCTGTTCCTCATTTTCAAAATCTGGAAACATAGTTTCAGCACAGAAGGCCTATGTCCTCCCCTGTACTTTCAAACAAGAATCCATGTTGCACATAAAGCAAAATGGCTGCAAAGCAAGCTATCTTGAAGAAATGGCTGGGTTTGCTGCATGTGAGCAGTGTGATAGACAGCTGATGCACCATAACTTGATACAGACAGATCATGCTAAAAGCAAGAATCCACTTGCACATAACAATCTCACAGCTACAATTATTGTAAGTCCTTAAGATAGCAATCACCATCCACTTGCACAAAGTGATTGTAGGTTTAGTGCCTAAGATCGTTGTAGTTCCTCAATCAACTAGACAAAATGGTATACAAAATAGGATCTGTTTCACAACAACACAAAAAAACACAACAAAGATTTAATTTCAAAACTATCATTAATCGCGAAAGTGAAACACATAACTATCAAGTGGATAGCTAAAAATTACATTTCAGCTTGACTATGTCAGAGTGACAAACAACATACCTTTTTGATAATCAAGGGAAAGATAAAAACGTAAGATGTCTGCAAGCTTTTGTAACAGCCTTGACCTTTCGGAGAACTCAAGGGCAGTTACAAAATGTAATTAGCCGCACTCAGCAATATTCCAGCTATATGACACGTTCTGTAAATAATCGAGTCTGGACCAGACAATCCAGTGATTGACATCATGAGAATCAATCCACGCAATTGGGATACAATGACATGCATCAAACAAATCAGCGAGCCTGACCACCCAATTCTGTTAATCGCCTTTAACAACAAGCATAGTCGCCTTTTACAGCAAACATGGGTTGCTGGAGACCTTTTCTCCCCAGATCTTCACAGGCCTCTCTTACAGGGATGTGAGCAGCTTTTCCCCCAAAAAGAGGAAAACTCTAGGGGGGTCTGGAATATTTTTGTTAATAACATTTGATTGCATTTTAAGCAATTTCGTGCAGTTTGGACAACATTCACACCAAGAAATGTAATAAGTCAATGGCAAAAGTCAAGTCAAATAAACAAAGATGGCGGATGCAGTAACATTTCAAAGTTAAATCAGTACTTTTAAAAAATCGGGCATAGCTTCTGCGCACCCAGCTACCCGCCGGGTCTGGGAGCAATACTCATGATACTGCCATAAACTTCAACCCCCATCCCCAAGATACAAGGACAACTGTCACAAGCGTGCAATCACTGCAATGTCTGACATTTTCTCCATGTTGAAGCATATTGAAAAAAGACTTATGTTGTACTTGCTTACCTTTTGTTGAAAAAAACCCAAAACATTGCAAACATAAGACATTAATACACCATATAACCCTGTCTCGCTAATCACATGAACAACTGTAAAACATCTCATTCACTTATAGGCTATAAGACAACTTTATCTTAAAAACAAGCCATCTGCTGTGTATATACAATTTCAGTGTGACGCCACCCCCTACTTTATAGTGCAAGTATTCGTGATAGAAAACGTATGATGTCCGAAAACCTATGATCCGACGATAATAGTATTGTGTACTGAAAAATAGTAAATAGAGGTTATCACGCGAGTGTGTTTGGGGATGGTAAATATCCTGCATTAGGAATAAACATTGTATTTAGCGAGCCTTGGCGAGCTAAATACATAGTGTTTATTCCTAATACAGGATATTTACCATCCCCAAACACACAAGCGTGATAACCTCTTTATCATATAATGTCATTCTTTAATTCTGTGCTTCAAAATCGCTTTCCCTCTCTCACAAACATTACCGAAACATTGCGAGTTTTCCTGGAATGCGCGCATTAATATTTATTACGTCACAGGGTAAGTGATGTGACAGTGACAGTAGCCAATATAGTTCCAACTGAAATCTGTTTCTTATACAGTGGCGAAGCAACATATACACAAAACAACAATTGTTTTTAATTGCCTTTCGCGGCAATCAATCGGTCTGTCCGCTAGAGTAACTGCCCTTTGTCAAAGGGAAGCTACTCTAACCCTAGTCTATGAGACGTCACGGCCACGGTCAGACGTTGTTGACAGTCGGTCTGTCCTGTCATTACAATAAGAAGTGTAGTCAGATGTACACACAGCGAAAAAACGAAACAAGGTAACAATTCAAACATATTTCCGCCAAATCCAACTATTTTAATTTGTGGAGGAGGTTTCAAACCGCAGAGGTCTACAAGCACAGATATGGCTACTGATCCCGCTTGGCTAGGCCTCGTGCCCTCGCAAAATTGTTTCAAATTTATATCTCCAAAGTTGACAAAACTTAAAAAATGCCTTAGCTACGTCAGTTAGACACAGATTTTCAGTATATTAGACTGTTCTTTTGATAATGATAGCAATTATCCCTGTAGTTTATCCAGATTCCCAATGGTTAATTCTGACTCGATCGCCGAATGACAAGGGCGACGCCATGTTTGTTTATAAACAGTGAAAGTAGTCCCTACTTGACCTTTGATATTTGCATCTCTATCCGCATATGACCCCAACGGATATCGTTTTTATCCGTTGGCTTTATCCTGCCGAGAAACCTACCCATTATATGATAAAGGCATATATGATGCTGAAAGCTCTGATCGAAAACAGGACAATCCGCGGAAACATAATATTTTTTCAGTTATTTTTTTAATCCTTGATCATTATGTAGAAGATTATTTTTTAACCGAGGACTACTGTTTTAAAAAACGTGACTTTCCACGTTTCCACGGAGATTTCACATCTCTGCTCTTAACAATGAAATACACATGAAGACATATTTGAACATGTTGAAATGTATGTTAAATATTTTATAAATAGCAATAATAATTTTGATATATTTTTTTCAAAATAATAATCACCAAATGTCATTGTTACATAACTGATACCCAGTGAATATATATATTGCCCCCTATCTTCTAGGAAATAATATTTACTATTCTTATTTCCCTTCCATGCATTATCATGATTATAGCAGCAAATCATATACATGTAGGATATAATTAGGATTTTATGAAAAGCTACTCTATTACCCCAAATAGACCGTTGTAGACATGATAGAATAAGATGCATGTTGAACAATGAAATCATGACAACCATCGGCCGATCATATATTTTCATGTTATGTTAAAAAAAATGTTATCATGGTTATTGTTAAGTCTTGTTTGTTTGTTTTGTCGTCAGCAATATTC